CGATTTCCACTTCCTTCCGCTCTAATCTCCCAGTTTTTTTTTGTGATCTGTGAGATCGGACAGAAATTTACATTTCTTTGGCTTTTCGGCACGCCCCCTCAATGTCAAGTTCACAGTCACTTCCGCACCGAAAACGGAAAATGCACTGGGCTTGTATTAACACGTAACTTCCACTGATCTGATCCGATCTGATCTTGATAACCACGAAAAACAATCAAATATACAAACGAATAAAACTTACAAATCATCTAGCGGACAAGTTCCGGCTTTGGAGTTTGGCTTTATGGTCTAATACTTGCCCATTGTTGACTTGGCGTAAACGATGGTTATAACTTTTATGACGCTGTGAATGTGAATTAATCTCAACGGTTTTCGGAGCCGACTGCCCGCTAATTGTGGGTGTGTGATTGCTGGTTGATGCTGGCGGGTGATGTCAGTTGTTGGCTCTTTAATCATCTATTAAATAACTTTGAGCGCGGGTCTAATGTGAGCCAATTAACTCCCAAAAGTCCCAAGAAGAATAACTTTCGAAGCTTAAAAACATAGTCGAAGATTAGTTGCCCTATAGAAAGTTTACATAAAGAATAAAAATCTCAATTAACAAAAAATCTGGTTTAAATGTCAACCTAATGTTTTAAAAACTGTACACTGCTGGTAAAACTTTAATTAATATTATAAGGCTATGAATACATTTTCCACCATTAGCAATATGTTTATATTAATAACTTTATTTTCAAAGGGCTATTTTTGAACAATTTTTATGTACTTTATTTTTAAAATTCCGATGTAGCTTCATTATTTTTGAACATAAAAATCAAAAAATTGCATCCTTTCTTGTTATATTTACTACCAGAAGACTAGGAATATATTTTCTAATATAAGTTATATGTTTCTATTAAAAATTCTATTTGAAACGGCTATGATTAATTTGTACAATAACAAATAAATGTTACATTTTATATTCTTAAGAACCAAAAAGATTAATTTTCCTTGTCTGGCAAATCCAACTTTAAACCTAACTAACCTAACCTTATTAAGAGCCCAAGTAAAACCCCTCGAAATGTCTGAGCCAAATTACTCAATCTACTCGTGTGTGAATTAAACGAACTGCTAATCTAAAACAGATCCCGGCCCCAAGTCATTAATGGAGTGCTCAAACAACGCCCAGAGAACTTCGAGGCGCGTTCGATGTAATTAATTTCAATTCGCCACTCTTTCAGCGCGGCCTTGAACTTCAAGAGTGACGTGTCTATTAGAACGCTAATGGATCCGCCTTTTCTGAGCCAAGCTTTACTTTCGCTTTTTTCCATTGAGATACATCGCAATTCTTGAGAAATCCCATATTGAGAGATTGAGATTGGCATGAGGGGAAAACCCAGTGACATAACTCTAACTTACGCACTCGCTTTTCAGATGGAAACTATGTGGAGCATTAAGCATTAGGGCTAATTAGTTAATAAACAAAAGAGTGGACCATGGACACATGCAAAATATTTCTCCACAATTTTATTGTCTTTCTTTTTTTGTATTTTAGTTTTATTTCTTTTTTTGGAGGCAAAGTCCGCTGCAGACTATTCAACTGGCCAATTCTCAATTGCAGCAGTAAAATCGCTGCACTGAAAAAGATTTCGTGTTTCGGGAAGTTTATTACGTGCAATAAAACATAAAGATAGAAAGGTAACAAAGAGCTTTAAAATACATAGTTTTTATTTCTTCCTATTTGATTTGTTTTCTACCGTATGGCTTAAATGTTAGTGGCACTCAACTGAAGCTACAAAATCTAATAAGCTGACAAAAGCGCATTAGTAAGTTGTAATAGGCAGGGGCTAATTTCACAGATATATCACTTTGGCCAGGCCTTGCCCAAGTCCGATTTGAGTATTACAATATATTTTTTGTTTCAGTTTTGTTGTGGCTGCAATGTCCATAATTTCCCCCATTGAACCTGACCGTCGTGGTTGTCGTTGTTACTACCAAACTACGATTGTTTTGCTGTAGTAGTTGCTGATGGGGCAGCAAACACAGTTATGATTATGAGAGGTTTTGTGACAATCAACTTCCTCGAAACGTGCCGCTTTGGAATGGCTTTGGCATGGAATGGCTCGGAATGGACTTGGACTTTGCATAATGGCCAGCAGTTGGCCAGTTAGCCAGTTAGCCAGTTAGCCAGTTAGTTCGTGTAATGAATTTTTACCCGTGTTATTAGGGGACAATCGCTGCTGGCAGGGAGTCAGCGACATTGCAGATACAGGTGCATTTGGGTATGCGTTTTGTTTTTCGGTGTTTTGGCAAGCCTTTTTACAGAGAAAAAATAAATATTTTAAATCTAGAGAAAAAACAAATAGGGAGTAGCAAAGTTCAATTATTAACTTTATGTTGTAATATATTTAAATCCACTAAAATTTGTATATTTATCGAATTTAGTTAGTTTAAAACTTTCTGTTGCATATTCTCTAATTTCTAAAAACTTTTTGTGATAGTGTATTATAATTATAGTTCATTTACAATTAGAAAAGATAAGTGTATATAGCATGCCCCTCAATAGCTAATAGTTCTATTATTTTCCAAATATATGCTTAAAAGTCTATGATTTATTAGTACTTCAGCTTGGAAATATTCTTTTTGACATTATCAAAAACCTCATGTTAATAATCATGCTAAACAATAAAATACAACCGCAACCAATCAATCATCATGTAAAATCAATTATTTCTGAGCCATTGAAATTGATATTTTTCTGTGTGCAAGTTGATTTTCCCTTTTGCGCTGACTAATCCGGCAAAACATTTATTAATTATGTCTTATAATTGAGGCACCCGTCTGGGAATGATTTTGATTAGCTCCCAACCTGCAATTATCCCTCGAATCGTGAAGCTGTTTGCGATTTGCTGACAGCAGCAAGTTTGCCTGATTTGTTTGTCGGGCTTTGTGCCTTGCCAGTGGAAATATGTAATGTGGATGGGATGGAGAAAAAAAAATACAGAAAAGAAAAGCCAGCAAATTATGTGAACTTGTTATATCACCTGGCTGAAAATCGCAGGCTTCAAACACTTTAATTTTTTTTTTTTATATTCGAACGGCGGCAATCATAACAACAAGCTGGCTGCACTTTCTTTGCGTTACGCTTCTTTGCATGCATTGCCAAATCGTTTGTATATATATTGGTACACAGCCACGCCAGATATCTGCGGCTATATGCAAGCGGTCAGTGTCCAGACATTGAACGGCATGGAATTGAAATGCTTGAACGCTGTCCGCCGAAAAGAGATACAGATGCGGATTGAGATGCAGCGGCAGCGGCAGTGGCAGATTCAGATGCAGATGCAAGTGCGGCACAGAAACGCAAAAGTTCAACAGTCGGAGGCGTTGGAAACACAGCCACCCCCAAACCCCCCGTCCCCCCTTTAGTAGGCGTCTGCAGTATTGTAAATTAATTCATATTAGCCAAACAAATGCAGGCATGTGTGTGCCGAGTGTGTCGGTGAGCAGCTTTTAGCATTTCATTCGGCGGATGAGATGAGTTGCCGCACAGGTTTTGTTTCTGTTTCTGCGGTCTGAAGTTCGCTTGTGGGAGCATCGCAGTCGCAGTCGCAGCCTCGTTGAAGAAACCGGCGCAAATGATTTTTATTTCTTTTTTATCTGCTGCTGTTGCTGCTGCTGCTGCAACTGTTTGTTGTTATTGTATTGAAAATAGCAAACATGCAAAATGCGCGGCGAAGGCTGAGAAAATCAACAGCGAAAATGTTAATTACACTATATCTGAGCAACTTCTATCTGGCCGTTCGACGGCCACTTAAGACTATCTGATCTGATGGATGCAAATGTGGGGAAGGCTTTTTCGAAACCACCAACAGTTACAGATCTCCCGATTTATATCTGACTGCATGAGTAATATCAATTGGCTTATGACTAATGGGCAAGCCTAAAACCAAATCCCTGTCAGCGGACACCGAAAACATTTTCCTTCCTAATGTTCGCAAACGTTTTCTTTTGATGAAGCATTAAAACGAATTTCCACATGATTTGGTTAATTGAGAGGAAAGGTTGAAAAGCTTAAATTAAAAATAGAAATGCAAATTGTTATTAGCAGACACAAAAACTTATAATATAAATATGAATTTATACCCATTTTAATTAATAAGACATTTATAAGTTTCTCTCTAAAACCAAAGAACATTCTTTTCCAAATATCAGTTATTCCTTTGACTGTGCATCGATTTTTGGGTAAGTTGCTACAAAAAGCTCGTAGACAATTTTTTATATGCTCTTAAATTTAAGACTTAATTATACGCTTACAAATAAATAAAGTCTGTGGATATATAAAAAGGCAAAGAATTGGAAGTTTAATATTAATAAACATTTAATTAAGCTGCTACGGCTTGCTATCAATTTAAAATGGATTTTTCTTGTTGAGCAGATCAAAAGACTTGAGTAACGAACTTTGAGGCAATGAAAAACGAAATCAGTAAATACTTTATTATTATCTCTATAAAATAAAAAAGGTATGAACAAATCCTTCAGATAAACTGCTCCGTTTCTTATCAATATAAAAATGATTTTTCTTGTTGTGCATATCAAAAGATTTAAGAAACGAACTTTGCAGGAGCGAAAAACAAATAATAATGACATTTATTATTTTCTCTTTAAAACTAAGAAAACATCTTTCCGTAAAAGTTATGAAAAAATCATTTAATTCAACTGCTACCGTTTCTTATCATTATAAAAGTGATTTTTCTTGTTGTGCAGATCAAAAGACTTGAGAAACGAACTTGGCGGCAATAAGGAAAACTCCACTCAACTTGCAAAGGTTTTTTTTTGTTTGAGTGGCAATGAGACAGAGAAAGAGAGACGGAGAACCGGAGAATCGGAGAGCTCGCCACACAGAGAGAAAACCCAAGCCCGAGACGCTGAGAGAAACTGAGAAGTGACGGTTCTCTCGGCCAATCCTCTCAATGGGCGGCTTCGGCTCAGTGTGGATTTTTTGGTATAAAACATAAACAAGCCAAAGAAAGTCATTCATTTTGTTGTTCGAGCCAGACGAGTGAACCGTTAGCAGCAGCAGCAGCAGCAGAAGTTAGAAGAAGAGCCGAGCTGCCCAGTGCAACCAAGTAACCGAGTGATAAATAGAAAAGCAAGAAACAAAAAGTGATCAGTGCAGTGTGTGATCCGGAGCCAAGACTTTTTGGATTATTTGGATACCGCCAAGCGATAGCCCCCCAGAATGCAGTAAGTTCCTAAAGACACCCACTGCGCCTATGAATCATGGTCCGAACCTGGATCTGAACCTGGACTTGGCCCGCCTCGCGGCCACAAATTCGTGCTGCAGTCGCTGCAACCCATAATTAACATTTTCGGTATTGTCTCGGTCTCCGGGGTTCTCTCGGCCCAATTTTCTGGCCCGCTTGGCAACCACAAAATATTCTTTTGGGCGATTTCAAAACCCAGCGACATACGTAACAGATAGAGAAACACAAAACCCCAACCATAGTCGGCCTGACTTTTCCTTCTATATCTTTCTGTTGGTTTTCTGTCTGTGTGTGTGTGTGTTTTTGGCGTGGGAGTTTTCGCTTTTGTTCGCCGACAGTTCATTCAGGCAGCAGACTTCAACCCAGGGGGATACTTGTACTTATTTATATTAGTTGTTACACAGAAAAAAGAGTAGATCTTTTTAATAGCCATGAAAAGAATATTTATCTGGTTTTGTATGGTCCTGTTACCTATTACAATTATTATTTTAAGGAGAGTATTATTAAAAAGACTTGGAAATTTTTACCTTAAAAATATTAACAAATAGTAATTCCTAAAAATAAAATTTCTTTAGAGATGTTGTTTGCAATCGGCTAGATGTGTAGATCCCAAATGGACTCTTTTTCTTTACTTTAGTTTTGTAGAACATTTTAAATCAGATGCATTTTGAAATCTAATCTTGTTAAAATTTACCAAGTTAAACAATATTCTATAACACATAAATTTAATTTTAGTTGGGATTAGCTTGAAAGGTATTTGAAATCCCACTTATTCAAAGCTTTTCGTGGCAATATAAAATCACATTTTCTCTTATGTTTCAATATTAACCATCAATCATAATAAAAGATTTTTAATTCCTGTGTAAATGAGTCAATCTTTTGAACTTATATCCAGTAATTTATGTTTGCTTTGTGGCAATCGAATGTCCGAGACTAGATCAATCGATTAGGACTCCAGATGGTCACGCCTGCTGGACATGGGGAGATCCAATCTCCGTGACAGATTGCATCACAAAGCTGGTCCTTTCTAAAAGTCAAGTCGTGTGGATTACTCATGCTCTGGGCATTATATAAGTGACTGCGAATATGAGTGGTAATTGTATCAAATGCACGCACTGCGACGCATGTGGCGTATACGCAATATTTCAACGTTTGGAATTACAGCGACGCACAGAAATGCGCAATTGCCCAAGCGTGCCTCAAGCCACGCCCACCGCTCCTCCGCCCCACACCCCCTCACCACCCAGGGTGTAATCGCTTTCGATTTTTGGTCACTTTATTGATGGGGTGTGTTTTGGGGAGCAATTAATAAATAGCCATCGAATTGATTTCTTTCACTTTTGCCTTGGCTCGTTGGATTTCGCCCGTCATCGACGCCAAGCAAATAAACACACCCACTTAAGAGTGAGCCCCCAACGGAGTGAAGGTCGCCGATTTGTGAAAATTACCACGGCATAAAAAAAGACAAAAGAGAAAAACGGTGGAACATAAAATCCATTGCCAAGCAATTATGCCGCCACATTATCCAGATGCCCGAAATCAGACAAACGTAAATTTCCAGTACATTAAAAACCAACCGCCCTAACTGCACGCACATTAACAGCGCTTAATTTGTAACAAACAAAATAAACTGCCAAAGAAACCATGGAAAAAAGTAAAAAAAACGAAAAAAAAAAACGAAATTAAGGCAGTGCAATGTAGTTTATTTTGTTGGGCTTTCATGTTTCACACAGTTTAATGGCATCGGGAGTTGTGTTAACGAGCTTGTGTTTAATTAAGCACTCGAATAAACCAACTACAGCAAGTGAAAACAAAAGACTTGGGCAACAAACTCGAGCAGATTACATGCTAAAGAGCCGAAATGGAAATTGAAATGGATGGAAAACAGCGGGCAGCCGCGCTAAGTGGGCAAGGCTCTTAATTCTCTACCTACTCGGCCCTGGTTATACAAGAAATTTACACTGTCGTTGGCCAGCAGAAAGCACACTTATCAAAATGCAGGTGGTTGCCAAATGTCGTAATACATATCCTAAGACCGCCGCTTATGTCACCCCAAAAATGCCCGCCTAACATGACGCACACCCAACATTTAAGGAAATCAAAAGCAAATATAGTCCGAGTTCCATACGCAAGAAAACCCGGTGGCACACAAAAAAAAAAAAAATCTACTACGACTCGAATACTTGAATGTATAACGAAACCGACGGCTTCGCCTGTCTTGTGGTTTCCAGAAGTGGGTGAGCGGAGGGTAGGAGTCTAAATCTGGGGAATGGGGAATGGGGCATGGGGATTGCGGATTGGAGCCGAGGAAAACCATCAACATCAACGCATCGCCTCTGCTCTATGCTATATGCTATATATGCATGATGTAACTGCAGTGCGATAACGTCTGCATCTGGACCAAAAGCAGAGACAGATCCCGAGACATGCAACCAATTCCCCATTTATGGCAGACAGACTGGCTATTGCGACTGCGACTGCGACTGCGAAAGTGGCGTTTGTGCCGCAAGTGGAGCACTCCAGGCCGCGATGGAATGTGGGCTTAGATATTTGCATGTGTTGCAGGTGGGTTCGGTGTTCGGGGTTTAGGGAGGCAATTCCTTGGGGCAGATTCCCCCGGATTCCCATGGAAATTGCGCAAAAGGTTCGCTGACAGTGACAATGCAACAGGCAACAGTGGCACTCTCAGCCAGCTCTTAAAGTTCAAAGGTGCAACTTGCAACTTGCAACTTGCAGCTGCCAAGCGACAGGCTGACAAATTGCCAGCTGGAAAATTCGATACTTGCATAAGACGCTCTCCAGATTTATTGGCATGGCCCAAAATCAAGGGGTTCCGACGTGGAATCGGGTTCAAAGTCACTCGCACAGCCGGACACTCGACTCGATTGGCGTGAAAAGTAAAAGTCCGGCTCGACTTTTGCTTTTGCTTTCATTACAGCTCACATATTTCACCTTGCCCAACTATTTGCGACTCTTACTCGGGCTTTGACGTTATGGCCCCAATTAGATGCTGGCACGTAACATTGGTTAATTGGACTGGCCAGCACCGGATCGGCGGTTTTCAGGCCAGGAATTCCCCTCCCGTCGGGGGTAGATATATTATGCGTACGAACAGCAGTTGACATTCAGCCAAGTCGAGTGAGCGAGTGGGTCTCGGGTAAATGGCGTTCAAATTGAACCCGCCGCAGGCTGAGCATCTTCATCATACTGCCAGGTGGTGGGGTATATGAGCTATGGGATCAGGGTTTTAAAGAGTGGGGTACAAACCACTTGAATGCATTTTTATAATTTATGTTAAGTGGGTTTATATATAGGAATTATTTATAGAAATCCTTTTCCTTAACCAACAAACTACAAATAATTAGCTTTTGAAATGAATTCCTTTGATTTAAATCTATTACACCTCAAATCAAAAATATTTTAGGAGCATACATTTCACTCAATTTCAAAAACAAGATGATTTAAAATATTTCTGTTCATTATATTGTACTTTTGACTTTCCTACGAACTGGATTACTTTACTATTTCGGGCAATACTTTAATAAAACATATGTCCGATATTGTTTTTTTAAATTAATATCTACTTATTTCCTTAAAATTATATCGAACTTAAATGGGTTAGTAAATAAATCTCACTTACATTTTCCAATTCAGTGGTGGGCTTTTGAATTCTAATCTTTCGGGGTACCTTCTTCGAGCGTATGCCATGATCAGTGATTCCCAGAGCCCAGCTTTCCTTGCCTTCCCAGCCGCAGTTGCATCTCCATGCCCCGAACTCCGTGGCCCGTTTCGATCTTGGGGGACTTGCCGTGTTGCCTTATAACAAGTTTTCTGGCCTGGCTGGCTGGTCTGGCCTGGTCTGGTCTGGTCTCTTGCATAACTGGTCGCTGGGCTGCCGATGCCAATGACGATCCGATGATCATGCCTTCTTTGGCTGCAATTTGGCGGCATCTTCGCGAAAAGGTTCGCAGAAATATTTTCCCGCGTTTTTTGCTCGGTTGATTGTCTTGTTGCCACAGAGTTTCCCATATCATAAAGCAGGCTGACTCATCAATTGATGGCCATCGCTTCCCTTGCTTCCATTGCAGCATCCCGTCAGCCGTACTCCTAGTCCTGGCTGTGGCCACGGTTCTGTGGACCAGCTGCGTGGAGGGAGCAGCCACCGGAGCTCCTTCGGCCTCGGCCACCACCGCCAAGCCCAAGGGATTCGAGGCCCGATCGCTGGACGTCAACTCCAGCGGCGGCGAGGAGGAACTGGACGACTTCGAGACGCAGGCCCAGACACATCTGGCCTATCGCCAGCAGCCGCAGCAGCAGCAACGCCAGATCTACGAGTACAGCGAGGAGGATCAGGAGGAGGCACCGCGCCAGGTGTACGCCAACCGAAATGCCAAGCAGCAGAGCAACTTCCTCAAGATCCAGGGTCAGCTGAAGAAGCCACTGAGCGAGGAGAGCGAGGAGGAGGAGGAGGAGGTGGAGGAGCCCGATCGTCTGTCCACTCTGCTGAGCAAGTCATCCTTCAGCTGCACGGACAGGAACTCCGGGTGGGTACCAGTCTGCAAATACTTTATTGTAATTTATAATTTTAAAAACTAACTTCAGATACTATGCCGACGAATCTCTGAGCTGCGAAGTGTTCCACTACTGCCAGGAGAGCCAGAAGCACTCATGGATCTGCCCCGAGGGCTTCACCTTCCACCAGATCCATCTGATCTGCATGCCGCCCTCTCACGACAACATCTGCAAGCAGTCCTCCAAGTACCACATAGTCAATGACTACCTGTACAAGCCGATCAACCTTCAGGAGCACCAGAGCAAGCCCAATGTTACGCTTCGCTACTCGGAGCGCTACTTCCCGGAGAACTACTACGAACACGAGCGCTACGATGACGAGGAGGAGGAACTGCCTGCAGCGCCAAGGCCACGCATTCAGCAGCAACATCACCAGCAGCAGCAACACCATCACCAGCAACAGCAACAGCCCCAGCAGCAGCAACATCGCCAAGTGGTGGCCTACCAGCAACCGCAGGCACAGCCCCAAGTTAGGGTACAATACCAGCAGCCCCAGCAGCACCAGCAACAGGCTCAGCCTCAACCACAAGTGGTGACGCAGATCCGCCACCAGCCGCAACCTCAGCCGACTACCCTGGCCTACCGGAAGCCACTGCCCGCGACCACAGTCCAGCCACAATTGCAGTTGCATCAGTTGCACCAGCCCCAGTTGCAGCTGCATCAGCAAAGGCCACAGACGTTGGCGCCGACCGTGACGCCAGCGCCATACCGCTTCTTCACCGCCGCTCCGCAACTGCAGCACTTGCAGCAGCAGCAACAGCAGGTCTATCGCACGCCCGAGGAGATCAACATCTCGCTGCAGCAGCGCCGACCGCAGGTGTTCATTGCCACAACGCCGAGGTATTACGAGGACGAGTACCTCTACGAGCGGAGGAAGTGAGGAGGATGGCGGAGGAGTGAGCAGAAAACAGTCTTGTCGTTCCCTCGGATCCACCTCTCGTGTACATTCCCCATCTAAGTAGCTTTAAGCTCTCGCCCCAGCTCTCTGTCAGGCCCGAAAATCCTTGCGCGAGTTTTGTGTACCTATTTGTAATATTTAATGTCCTGCTAGAAGAATCCGCCTTCTAACTCAATTCGTTAATAAAGGAAGCCACATTAAGTTAGCCGCTCACTGTATGTCTATCTCCATAAACTGATCCGCGTTGGACAGATGCAAAGCCTGGCTGTGGGTGTCCTCCTCCACCACGTAGTTGGGTCCAATAATGCAGTTCTTCAGCACCGATCCACTCTTTACCTGCGCCCGATGGCCAATGATGCAGTTGTCGATGTTGCAGCCCTCCTCCACAATGGCGTTGGACATGATGATCGAGTTGGCCACAATGTTCTTGGGATTGATGATGCAGTTGGGTCCAAACACGCTAAAGTTCAGTGAGGTCTTCTCGGACAGCTTGGCATTGTCGGCAGCAATGATCTCCTTCGTTTGAGTCGATTTCACCACAGCTCCAGGGGAGATCAGTGGGTGCTTTGCACCACACAGATCGTTCCAAATACTGGCCAACTTCCGATTGATGGCCAGGAAAGTCAGAGTGTTGTTCACCCGCACGCCAATAGCTTCCTTGGGTGCCTGTATGCCATAGCAACGCACCATGTCGCCATGATATGGAACTTGAGACAGAGATTGGTTAAACAGCGAGGCCTGCGTGATCTTTTGGTCCAGAATGGAGTGGGGCACGTACTAAAAGGGGAAATAAATAATGAAATTTATAAAGTCTTCATTCTATGGGACTATTCGGAAGAACCCACATGCAAAACATTATCCTCATTCTTGGTGATCACGCCCACTTCGGAGGTGGTGTCCTGCACAGCTTTAGGCAGTCTTTTGGAGTGCTGCTTCTTGATCAAATGCGGCAGGAACTCGCCCTTAAATGTGGATATGTTCTCCTTCTGCAAAGGTCAGATGTTAGAACAACATTTCTCTGTGTGCACAGACTAACTCACCCTCCGAAGGTAATCGATGACCCACTTTTTAAGCACATAGACATGCGCATCCACCAGGCGACTGTACACATCCAATCTACCCCGGTTCTTGAGCAGTTGTCGCTGGATATTCAGAGTTTCCTCACAATCACTGGCAGCTGACACAAAGGCTAATCTCTGCGTGGCCGCATGGATGCCTATAACATCTCGTTCCGGCTTGTGCTTGCTCTTGGGACCCGGCATCACCACATCTGACTCGAATCCGCTGGGGAAGAGGAGCAGCGCCAAGGAGGCGTCATGTTCGCGGAATTTGTTGATCAGCGGATACAGATTGACATTGCTGACCAGATCGCAGCTCACAACCAGAAAGTCGGACTTGATCTTGTCGTAAATATAGCGCAGACTGTCCGCAGTTCCAAAGTCGCTGTCGCCGGGAATCGTGGCATAGTCCAGTTTCAGCTTGAGGGGAGTGTTCTCGAGAGCCGATTGGATCTCCAGCTTCTCCTGCTCCAGAACCACCACAATGACCTCTGTGGGTCAAAGCACTTACAATTTAAAACCAGGATTTACTTATTTCAACCAGCATTACCTGAAAAGTTGTGTTGTTGCAACAGATTTAATGGATACCAGATAAGGGGATACGGTCCCACGGGCAGCAGACATTTGGGGGCGTCTCCCAGGACTTCGGGCAGGCGGGTGCCACGCCCAGCGGCAAAAACTACTGCCTGGAACTCGGAATTCGTCATTTCCACACAAAAATGATTTAAGTTCGGCTAAAAAGCGTGCAAATACAAAAAAGCCACGCAAACAGCTGATCAAATGCAAGGGGCAACACCTGCTCGCGCTGCCCAACACTGTTTCCAATTGGACATATGTTTGCTGTCATGTGACCGCGTCATTGTTTTTGTTGCTTTTGCTGTTGTATAAAACTAGTCAGATGACCCTTTTTGCAATGAAAAATCCCTTTTTTACTCACAAATCACAAAAAATACATTTTGTATGAAACAACAAGACTTTAATGCATGGTTTGCGCAGCTTACACTACACTACAAAAATGGAATACATACTTTTCTGCTTATTGGAATAGTCTACACACTTTTGCTACTAGGTACAAATAAGTTTTGTGGCTTGCCCTTTGCGAATTACAATATGGAAACGGATACAGAACAAAAATAGTTTAACAATAATATTGCTGGAATAATCAACTTCCACGGTAATACTTAGAACAGCACATCGTCGTCGCCCTCATCCAGGATATTGGCCTGTTGACGCACATCGATGCCCTGCTGCAGTAGCTCTGCCTTCTTGGCATCGGCCTTGATCCTTGCCTCGCGCTTCTTGTCCTGGATCTTCTTCAGCCTGTAGAACTCTTCGCGTTCCAGTTCATCCAGCTCGGAGATGATGTATGCCAGTGTCCTGTCGATCCGGGGAATGATCACATGCTCGATGGCGTTCACACGACGGTTGGTGATCTTAATCACCTCGTCCAGGGTGACGAACGAGGTCTGCAGCGAGGCCAGCTCCACGAGCAGCTTGACGGCGCTCTGGTAGTTCTTCTTCAGCTTGGCTAGCTGCTGACCACCACGGGCCAATCCGGCGAGCTCGTAGGTATCGGCTCCGTCCTGATAGGACTCGAAAACGGGCAGAGTCACGCCAGCAACGTTGTCCTTCTTGGTGCGGATCTTGATCTGTGCCTTGGTCACGTTCTGCAGCACCACCTGGTTGATGTCGCCCGATGTGAACTTGGCCTCAGCCAGCGAAAAGGCGGCCTCTTTCATAACATCACCCATCAGGGTCTTGGTTTCGATGATCTTGCCCAGAATCATACGGAATCGCATTTGCAGGGCATCCGCCTTCTTCTTAAGCAGACCATGACCTTTTTGGGCTCCAGCCAGACGGGCCTTCATCAACATCTGGGCACCACGGGACGGGAAAATCGGTAACCTATCTTTTCCGGACATTTTGCTGCTTTTTTCGGGTGGTGATTGGCTGGATTAAACTATTTTCAACTGCGTATCGAGAAAACTGCAACCGTCGCAGAACACTGAAAAACTCCAACTGGAAAATGACGGATGGCAGTGTTGGCTATGGGCAGCACGCAATCGATAACAACTAGTGCTTGTAAATACCTTCAAGTGCAGTGTTCGTGAATACACCAAAACAGCTGCTTTTGCATTTAAACGTAAACAAAACTAACAAATTTTTTTTGGATTTATAATGCTGTTGCAACGCGTGTGGTTGCCACAAATAAACAACCACCTGCGAAAATACGCCAAAAAGTCCCGCGCCCACTTTAAGCCAGCCATGGCCGTGAGCAGGCGCATGGTCCACCAGGAGATCCTGCATTATGTAAACCCCTTTGCCAGGATCAACGTAAAATCCGATGTTTTTCTGCGCATCCAGCCAGCGGATGTCCATCAGTACACCAGCGGAGATGTTTTCATAGCCCAAATGCACGGTGGTCAAGTCAAGAACTCCAATGTCTCGCTGGATGTGAAAATAACCGATGATGACAAGGTGGTTAATGTGGTGGTCAAGCAACTGGTGGAGCAGCCCTCGCAGTTCGAGTGCAATCTGCAAATTCCAGTGCGATCCGATGTCTCCGTGGAGGCCAAAGGCAGTGTACGGGTGGAGGGAGTCCAGAGTGAGCTCCTGCAAGTCAAGGCAGAAGGCGGAATCCTGACCAAAAATGTAAAGGCTACCAACATTAAACTGTACAGCGAAAATGGCAACATCAACTGCCAGGGCACGCTACTGGGCAAGATCACCGAAATAGAGACGCGTAATGGGGTAAGGAGATTGCTGTAATCGCAAGCCTACCATCAACTTGTTTCTCCACTTTACAGAACATTTCCATGGACAAACTGCAGGGAGACAACCTGAATTGCTCCACCAACGCTGGCAGTATTATAACCGACTGTTGCTATGTGGAAAACTCCAAGTTTCAGACACAAACAGGACGCCTAGAGCTCAAGAATGTCCACAAGACCAGTCAAGTGCATGTCCACCAGTCGGCAGAAATCAACATGAGTAGGTCAATACAAAAAATATTAAAATATGTTATAGTAATTAAAACATTTCAGCTGGAGTACATGGCAATCTCCAAGTAATGACCAAAGGAGGCAGCCTAAATGTCCAACTATCTGAGCTGGTAGGTCACAACAAAATCGATGCCCACAACTTGGAAGACGAGGCTATCATTCACATATCCCAAGCCATTGAGCAGGATCTTCACATAGAGGTGACAGCCTCTGAAGTAAAATTGGAAACCGAACTGGAGCATGTAGCCCATGCTCTGAACGAAGAAAAGAGCAAATTCCTCCTCAACAATTCGAATACACATCGTCTGCAGGTCAGCAGCACTGGCGGTAAAGGCGTTCGACTGGGAAAACAATCATGGAGCGATATGATGCGCCAAAAGCTGCAAGCCATTGGAACCGAAGCGCCCTAGTTAAAGACGGATACTCACTAAGTTACGAATATATTGTGCTGCAAGCTACAATCTCAGTCATTTTTGTCTTTCCTTTCATGGAGGTATATTCATTAGGCTTGGCCCGACTCCTTATCCTTATCGCTCAGGCATTCGAGGGCCTTCGAGAAGATTGCATCTTCCTCTTCGGCTTTTAGCGCAGAAACAAAAAGCTGCACTTTTTCATCGCCAATCTCTTGGAGATCTGAGTTCTCTGCTTTTATCACCATACAGGCTAATAGGCGCAGCAACTTAAACGCATTCTCCACATACTGCTCCTTGGGAGCATCCTCCTCCTCGTCGTCGTCTTCGAAGTCGTTGGTCTCTGGATCTGATCCGGTGTAGTTATCGATGTGCTGTTTAAGTCTGTACCATAACTCTAGAAGATTTGAGAAGGCTTCCTTGTGGTAGAAGTACTTTAGGCGCTGTAACAGGAAATATTTAATATAGTCAGCGATTGGGTAGGGGAATTCCTCAACTCACACTCCAAATGTGCGCCAAATCCTCCAGATACTCCTCCTGGCGTTCACCCAATGGAATGAGTTGCAGCGGCTGCTGCAGAAACTGCAGTATCCGCGCTAGGCAACTGACTATGCTGGGTGCGTAGACATCCATGGAGGCCTGCGCCTCTGGCAGCTGGACCAGAATGGTGCAAATGTTGAGGTAGGTTTGTATGATCTCCACATCACAGGTTATTTTCGGGCCGCACGAGTCGTAACCAACGTCGGCATCTTCATCACTGTCTTGGGCCACGGCTGGAACATCTGCCTCTCCGTTCTCCTCGCCAGCTTCCTCGTCGGCCAGCTTGGTCTGATCATCGCGCATGAGTCGCAGGAAGGCGCTATTGACACCATCGCAGAGCTCGGGAACGAGGAAAACCTCCGCGAAAGGCTTCAGATTCAAGGTTGACTTGGCGTTCTCCTCCTCCACCAAGGCGCAACTGGCGAGCACGGCATTTGTTGCCTTCAGAGCGGCTACCAGCAGCTCATCGCTTACGGACTGCTGCAGAATCCTGCCCAGATTCTGGGCGGAGTTTTCGAAGGCCGCAAAACAGATGTACCAGTCGACGGCAAACTGCTCCTTGCCGCTGAGCACATGGGCCATGATGTACTGGAAGAGACGCATGAGTTGGATCAGCATAGCGGTGTCCATGCAGTTGGTCAGCTTGAACAGGGTCTCCATTGTCCCGTGGTTGCAGGTGAGCAGTTCGGCGCACTCCACCTGGGCACACATGTTGCCCAGCAGACCGATGAGAATCTCGTATAGACGCACATCCTCACAGCCGGCCATCAAGGAGTACATAATCGGATCGATGGCCTCGTTCTCCAGCAGCAGGGTGACCACTTCGGGGGCCACCGACATGTCCCAAACCTTGCACAGGTCGTCCTCCAGCTGCTGTTCCATGGGGGATTCCGGTTGGAGCTCGACCAACTTCAACACGGTCTGCAGAATGAAGCGACTGCTGTACATGGTGTTGCCCACCGCATCACCGCGCATCCGCTCCAGCAACTCCGCCTCCTCGACGTCGTCCTGGGCGGGTGGGGGCGTGGTCGAAGCGCTGCTGGCGCTGGCAGAGACGCTGACCGAGGCAGAGGCGTCGCTTTCCTTGTGGGTCGCATTTTCCGCGGGAGGAGGCACTTCGCTTTCTTTGGCAACCACTGTGCCCCCAACGCCGCTCGCCAAAGGCTCCGCGTCTTCCTTGGGCATTTCGATCTGGATCCGGGTCTGGGCTAACTGGCTAACGGCTTCTTTTGGCAGGTCGCGGACGGGCAGTGGTCAAAAATCAATATTTTTTGGAAAACGATTCTTTTTTTTTTAGACGCTGTAAGTGTGGCCGTATCTTCTTTCATTAGCTTACCATTAAGCTTCCATTCAGTTAACGGAAAAAAGTCGTATTTCGGAATCGCGACCAGCTGGTCACTTTTGTTCAAAGTCGACTGGCGGGAAATCGATTTTTAGCTTTGTTTTCCATTTATCATAATTTTTAACTGGCCAAAGGAAAAAGGCGTATGCATAGGAAATCGAAACGGAAACCTCCTTTAAGTTAAAAAAATATCGGATATTCTATAATACATTTTCAAAGTTTCATTTCAAAGTAATCATTTAGCTCAGAAGCAAACCTTTGTCACTTGCAATCCAATATAATCCACAAGGAAATTTTAAATAAAGGCGCCAAAAATGTGAATGTTAGACTTTTATTATTAAGTTTTACTTTATGTCCGACTCCTAATGTTTACGTATGGCATTTGATAAATTATGCTTTTTAATCCTGTTATTCAAACAAAGAAAACACGAATTCATTGATGTAACCATATTTTCTTATTAATAAGTGACTTAGATGCAATGTTAGCAATGAGAAGTAATCACAGTTTATGCGGTTTTGGGCTTTCCCCTGAGCAGCAAACTCGACAGATTGCCGTAGGGAACCTCAAAAGCAAGTGAAAAGGCGATGGAGGCGAGGTAGACGATCATCGTAAAGCCACAGCAGATGACGGTCTAAAATAAACGAACAATTAAAGATTAAATTGAATAAAAAAGGATAACAAAGATGATAACTTACCAACAGGAAGGGATCGACAGCAGAACTCGTACTGGCCAGGCTGTAGACGAGGGCAATCACCAAGGGATTCAATAGATATATGGCGTAGGAGAGGCGGTTCAGGTGCTGAAAGCACTTGGCCTCCAAGAGGCGTGACCACCACACTCCACTTCCCGATGCACTGCCCACGATCATCCAGCAAACGGTGAGGGAAAACAGACCGCGTCCGAGGACAAACAGCGAAATGGTGATCAGATAGCCCAGATCTCGCTTCACCGTGGAGTAGATGCAGCCCACGAACACCTGGAGACTCAAGTGCCACATCCGTCGGGTCCTCCGTTCACTCATCTCCATCTGGAATCGCTGCTCCAGGAAACCCCAGGCGACGATTGATCCCACAATATAGGGCAGCACCCTCACAAATGGACTCGTGTATATCTGGGTGCCAGTGGCGTAGGTGGAGTCGAAGGAGAACTCGAACTTGGTCGAGATCCCGATCCCGTAGGACCAGATTATCGTCGCCAGAAGTCCAGATACCGTCAGTACTTTGCCCACTTTCGGATGTCTAGGTGGGAATAAAATAAAAAATAATAGTAAAATTATAAGTTATTCAAGGTATTCATTATTTTTTAGAGATTTATAGATTTGATTATATTATATAGAATTCTTTGTATAGATTAAATTAAGTTATCAAGAGTTCATCGCATATACTAAAGTCTATTGTAATGAATTTATCAAATACATGAAATTTTGCTTTAAAGAATATATTGCTTATTTATTGGTTGATAATCAAGATTTTGTGGAGATTTTCCGGTGAATATCAAATTTACAAAATGGTGATTTATTATTTATACTACTTAAACTTAAATGTTAAGTCTAAGTAGTATTCTTTGGTTATTCACCGATTTGTTTATTGTTTTAAAGAGGGACATCATACCTTGCATAAATGAATAGCACAATGTTTGCCAGCAGGAAGAACTGCATGTCGCAGGCCAGACTCCAACTCCAGTTGGCACACATCTCCCGGTGATCGAAGAGGTTCTGGATGAAGAGCAGGTTGCGCCACCAGTGCTGGGTGCACAGCTCGTCGAATCTCTCGTTTATGTGGAAGACCGACACATCTCCGATGTAGGCGAAGGCCAGGTCCACGCTGCCCATCACCACCAGATAGAGTGGACCCAATCTCAGGTAACGATGGAACAGCAGCTTTCCAAAGAGCTTCACATTGCCCCACAGTCCATTGCGACGCACTGCCTCCAACTGTTTTGTATTTCTCAGGAAGTTGTACGTTTGCAGAAAGCCACTAGAAACAAATATAGTATATAATTGAAATTTATTATATTATATTATGTAGTAATATTCACCTGATCGTAAAGAAGACATCCACGAGGAGCGGCGCCGTAGAAACATACTGAAAGAAAACCGTTTCCGCATAGGATATCAGCTCCGTTTTGTTGTGCACCGTGAAGTACATGTACCACATCACATGGAAGACCAGGATCAAGATGGCACACACTGATCGCAGTCCATTCATGATCGGGATCTCCCCCGGTTGGTTCGTTCTCATTGCTGAAATCTTCCCCCAATTATTGGCCACATCGAAGCAGGACGCGAAGTTCTGGAGAGGCTGCCACTTTAGGATGAAATCCATTGCCTGCCAGATTTCCGATTCCACAGGAGCCAGTCCAGTATCCGGTTCATCGCCCCTCTTGGCCACCCGTAATTGCTGGGCGCAGAGCGTCAGAGCTCCAGTGACCAGGATGGCGGCCACCACCAGTCGGAAAGTCAGTCGCTGGAAGAATCGCTCGCTCAGCTTGAGATCCTTCATGTACAGAACCTCCGGTTGGATATCGAAGATGTCATCCTCGGCGAACGAACCACCTGCCACGTAGTCCCTGGCCAGTTGCTTCACCTCCTCGGATCTGCACGAGCTGGGCAGGCACAGTCCAATGTGGAGCACCTGCTCGGACATCACCTTGATCTCCACCTGCCAGGGTGAGCGATGCTTCAGGTAGATCACTCTGTAGTCCATCCCGAAGGGAGCACTTTGTGTCAGGATGCTGTAGTGCATCACTCGCTCGTAGTTCCGGGACAGAGTAATTCCCACGGGGTTCTGGACACCACGACATGCCTCTCGACTGCCCAGCCAGTAGTTCTGGCCGAAAACGAAACCAGATGGCTTTGTTCCCGAGGCATCAAGAACTGTAAGTAAACGAAATATACATATAACAGATTATTTCTTTGAAACTCTGTATGTGAAAATGAACAATTCATTTGAAGCACTAAATACACTAAAAATATTAAAAACTCTTTACAATAAATTTTAAAGCTTAATATATATAATTTTGTTAATTCCAGTGATTAATGTTCAACATAGGTACCCGTTTGCAACATGAATCTAGTTATGCCTACGCAGATCAAGTTTATTCCGATTTCAATTTGGTCAAGACCACTCTAACGCCCACAAATCTTGAAGCCCTTCAGTGACATGGTAGGAAAATGTTTTTGGGCTGTATATATGATATATGTATACATATTCGATCAACATTTATCATCTCACAGACAATTCCCAAATCGGATTGATAAATATACCTTAACCTTCTTTTTTGGTTTGCCACGCCAATAGAATTTTAAGTGGCGCCATCTGTTAGGAGCATATTTATTTTTAAAACGAATGTTGGATATTTATTTAGCATTCCTTCCTGTTTTAAATTGCAATTCTAACAATAATTACAATAATATATATTTTTTATATTAATAAAATAATTACAATAATCTAAATTGTATATATTTTAACAACAATTACAATAATACAAATTGTGTGTTTTATTTACCTAATCAAATAGTCTGATAAATTGTACTTTAAAACAAACGAGTTATGTAGTTTTGTAGTTTCAAGTTACTTACCTTTCATGGCCCAAGGTTGTTTGCTGAGGATTCCCCGCTGCACTTGCTTCAAATGGTTGTGGCAACTGGGACTCACATTGCTCTCGTTGGCCGCTTTGGTCAATCCAAAGATGACGGAGCTCCGGATGAGATGGGGTTCATTCCGTGATTGGACAGTAAACCCCTCCTTCTCCCGATTATCTGTGGCAATAACTTCCGCGGACAATTCCAGGCTGGCATTGAAGAGGCCGTGATCGTAGCGATGCCGTCGCACAGTGGACTCATTCACGGCAGCATCCGCCACGAAAGCCAAGATGCTGATGATTAAGACCGACTTCCAGTGCCTTTCCATGCCGATGCACCGCTAACGAGCGGCAGCTGGAAAGTTAGGAGGTGTTTAATTGTTTACCCTTCAATACGAACACTCCCATGTTACGAAAACCAGAGGCAGCCCTTCAAAATCGGACTAACGAAGTTACGACGACTACTTCCTACCGGAACAGATTTACGAGCTGGGAGAGCTGTTTTCCAAGTGAGATGCACTCGATGACCCAACAATTGCTGATGCCAATCAGTTACTCTTTAAAGATCTTAGATTTAATTTTTGTTTAGGGCTAACCCTTCTATGATACTAATATCCAATATCTATAAATTTGAAACAAAATATTTGTTTTCTGTGCTTGTTAAAAATTGCGATGCATTATATGATCTCTCCTTAAAAATATCTTGAGTTATTTTATAAAAAGTCTTATAATTTTCATAGGAAAAATGACAAAAACAAAATAATCAAATTAAAAAGGAATTCCTCAGACATAAAATGATCTCTCCTTAAAAATATCTTGAGTTATTTTAAGAAATGCTTGGACACTTTAAGTTGCAAAGAAGATTCTTAAAAACTACTTGAAAATTTGGTAAATAATTTATATGTACTTTCATTATTATGGGACAATTTAATTGAACACCCACAATCAGTTTATCCCAAAATGGCTGAGACACTAGAGGATAAATTTGAAAAGGGGAAGTACCCATGGCAGTCAACCGATCGCAGAACATGGAAGTGACAGTGGTAACCCGAGTGGAAGGTGGAGTTCAATTCAAATATCAATTAGCCGCATCCGAGCGAGCAGTAAGTGCGTCTCAATGTCAGCTCCAATGTAGCGGATTAGTTTGATTCACGAGAAATTCACACGCGAAAATACAGTGTCTATAATGAACAGTCACCTGAAGGTTTATGGGCTGCCAAAGGCAAAAGCCAATTAAACTTGTCACTCGGGTCGATTCATTGGATTTCAAGTACCCACTATTGATTCCCCAAGTTCAGTGTTATTACTTTTATTATTTGCACCCAAATCTGCACAATTGCCAGAGGTCAACGACTAGAGTGCGTGTGTCTGGTAAATATAATATTTTTACGATCTTTACAATGCCCGATTTTGGTCAGGAATCAAGACTTGAGCCACGCGCTTCAGAATTTACATGCATAAATTAAATTGACCATCGAATTGTGTTGTTTGCCCAAAATACTCATCCCAAATGATGTTTGCTTAGGTTGATTGAGGTAGGAATTCGAGAATGAATCCCCCGGGCGTTTTGCCAATTTTGGCACAGGCGTGGGCTAAAATCGTATATTATAGTAATATCCAATGTTTTCTTTGCTCTCGAAGACGTCGCCAAGATCTGTAGATGTAAGCCCCCGATACTGAGTTTGCATTTTATGGCAGCTAATGGCTTTTGGATGAAACCGTTTCAAGGGTAAATCGTAAATCTGCGCATGGTTTCGCATCTATTTTCTCGGTTTTTGGGTATGCAAATGAACCTTCACCTTAACTTTGCCAGTGAATCGGATCCCGATAGCCCGGTTTTCGGACAAACGATGGGTTTTGTAACTAATATTCGCGAACTGGCTCTGGTTTTGCCATGTTTGTTGGCTTTTGCTATTGTTTTATTTTTTGGCTTATTAATGGAAGTGTCATAAGAAAATGGTGATTTATTTTTTACTCTTTATCGCGGTTGAAGGGTCAAGGCGTGGATAGAAAACTGGCTTTCAGATCGATTAAAGTCCCGGATTCGATCAAATGCAAACGCATAAAATAAGCAAATTGACCTACTTTCAGAGGCGACGCAAACAAGTATCCAATCAATATAGAACCGTCCTTGGCATTCGCTTTTATTTAATAAGAGTTTCGCTTGTTATTATCGCGGCTTGTTTGTTTATTTGTCCAACGTTTTGAAATTGAAACCACGGATTTGAAATTAGGTTTTAGTTTTTTAAGCGCGACTCATGCAGCTTCGCGTCTTTCCGAGGAACTGTGCGCCCTTCGCAGCGATCCAAACCTTTATAAACTCCGCCAGCGCTAAACGCACGTGAACAGGTATCAAGCGGGGCATTACACAAAACACAGATGCGAATGAAAACAAACCGACCGATGAAAGCGAAACTGCTCTCCGCGGTGTTTATTTTTGGGAGTCTTGCGTACGGCCTGCATCTGCGATCGGCTTTTTTTATACGTCACAAAGCCGGGCTTTTAAGTGCCGGTCTTGGCGTTCTCGTTTTTCACACCGATCGCACGATCCATCCATCGATCGCGTTCATTGACACTGCGATGATAAGGGGGCGTTCCCCGGAATTGGGAACGGCAGGGAGCGCCCTTACAACGCATTCCCTTAAAAAGGCAGTCAAGCTTCGTTTCCACGAACCTTTTACAGACTTACATCACATGGTTTTCACAACACGTTTCCCGCAATTTTATAAGTTTTCCATTGGAAGCCAAGTAATAACTAATGTACAATTTTGTATTATTCAATTACAACCGGAACAACATTTTACTTAGGGAATCTTTACTGTACCTTAACAGGAAGTGCTACTTAAATTGCAATTGCAGGAGTAATTGGATGTTGACTTACTAGCAGGGTCAACAGAAATTACAAGGATATGCAACTAAAATTACATTAAGATGTAGAATGTAATTGCTACAGCCGCAGAAACTTAATAAAATTCTGAAACATTCTCTTTTCCTAAAAACCTTCAAGTTTACACAAAAAATTGATTCAGATTTAGACAGCCAATCTACATTTTAAGCGGTTTTAGACATTTAAACATTTTATAGAATCGGAACATTAAAAGTAAAAGTTTCTTTTATCAGCAGAATGCTTCTATGGTAGTAATAGAATAAGATTTTGAAAAAATCTTCGTTTTTGACTTTTGAACTGTGGACCAAGTTACAAATAACTATAAAACACATTATAAATATGCGAATAAAATAAGAAAAATAAATAAACAGCGGTTTAGTATGTTTATTTTAATATAAATATAATATAAAATATAATATAATACGTTACAAAATTAACCTATTTCGCATATCTGGCAACGCCGGACCCAACTAGCAAAGGCAAAAACTGATATCTAATGCACCCACCAATTCTTAGCAATTTCAAACACCTTAGGTGCACGTACACTAATCTATTATTTCCTTTCAGATCATGTTGTCAGTGGAAATATTTTCTATCGTTATCGATAGACAATATTTAAGTGGGATTTTTTCAGATTCAAGCCTACTGCCACACTAATCGATAGTCGCAAAAACTGTCGATGACTCTCCACCACTAGTAAAATTTGCTAGGAAAAACGAAAACGCGAAAAATGAAAACGCAATACAGAAAGGCAAAATTGAAGTGAAACCAAGTGCAACAACGACGGAGCAAAAGGTGCCACAAACGAAATACTAAACAAATAATAAAAACCATCGAGTGTGCTAGAAAATAAACCCCCCAGCAAGTCAAGGCTCCCCACAAAAGAAAAGAGAGCCATAAAAATCGATTCTTCAAAGAAGTCGCACACTGCGTGTGAGACTTTTTTCGCGCGGGCGGTGGAGCCTGGCGTTGCTTTCTGCCAATTAAGTTTGGGGAGGCCTCGCAAAGTCTATGTTTTAAATTGCCAGGGGCTTTGGAGGGTTAATATATACCTGAGCAGACTGAATACCTGCTGGTCTCTGTGTGTGTGTGTGAGTGAGCAAGTGCGAAAAGAATTCATCTGTATGTATTTATTATTTTATTTGCACAACAACCCTGAAAATCGGACAGGACACTCGAATCATAATCTTAATTAGCTAATTTCCAGTAAATATTTGAGTGTGTCTCGCGTAAATAACGGAATGCCAGCACATGACAATAAAACGTGTGTCTGTGTGCGTGCGTGTGTGTTTGTAGTAACAACAAGGCAAAAAGCAAAAGCAAAACAAAGTGAATGACAAACGGCGAGAATGAAATGGAAATCCACCCCCCGTCACCCACCACCCTCCTTTTACTGTTAGAAGTGCGCCTGTGTGCGTGGCGCTAATTGAACTCACACAATATATATAATTTATTTAAGTTGTTTTTTTTGGCGCTCCACAAAGCCACATATTTGTGAGTCAGCTTACGACTTCCACCTGCCTTCCAGATTGCGTGCACACAACTCCCGCGAGGACAACAAATAACCAGCAACTAAACATAATAAAAAGAAGCAGCACAGCAGGAGGAGAAGGAGCTAACCACACCTCCCGCCCCCGCGATTGGTGTCCCAATCGCCCACCCGCATCCTGCACTCCAAGTCCATCTGAAGCATCTGCAACATCCGCATCCACGATGTCAAGTGATAAGATCAAAGTCGCCGTAAGGGTGCGACCCTTCAATCGCCGTGGTAAGTGCAGATTTCCCCGGCTCAGATAATCCCTGCACTGGGAAAAATATTGTCCAAAACAATAGACAAAAGTTTTTTTTATCCTTAATTTAGTAACCTATTATTTGTTATATTTTATTTATGCACTGATTTTCCAAATTAATTTATAAATTTTTAAATAAGTAGATTTTCTTGCTGAATTACACCGAAATATTATTAGTTTAAGTGATATCAGTTTCAAACTTAAAAGTTAACCCGAGTTTATTAAAATATATTATTGTTCAAAACTGAAAGATTACGATGGGGAACCACAAAAATTACTACAGGAAATAGATATTTGTAAACAAAAAAATCTTTGTGTGACTATTATTTAGGCTTTCATTCACTTGATAAATGTTTTAAGTTGATTTTAAGTTGAAAATTGTTTATCAGGGCTATACAAATGTGCAGAGAAGATCTATCGCTTCCCAAAATTCATAAGGAGTTGCCTTGAGTAGCCAGAACTTTCCATTTTACTTTCCACTTTTCCGACATTGTTTCTGAACAATACCTGGCACTGCAGTTGCCTGCAATCAATAATGCAAACAACCAAGCAGAGACTGTTTTTTTAGGCTAACGAAATTTACATGGGCTTCTTCGCTTCCTTTGAAATACGGTTTCGTTTTTCCACTGCTGCGCCAGCGGATTTTTCGCTGGGTTTATATGTATAGTATGGCATAGCATAGCATAGCATACTACCTACTGCAGCGACTACCTACGGGATGGTCCCTGGTCGTCTGACAAACGATTTTCGTTTCCAGCTAATTTCGCGTTTCCCACTGCAGCCATGAAGTGTTGCAAGTGCAAAAAAAAACAAGACAGCTATAACAACTACAGCGCAGTCAGCGTTTCCAATGTCAGCACTGATCATTCATTTGGCTTATCCATGACTCACATTTACGGCGGAAACGAAGGATGGCAGCGGAAAAAGGGGCTACACGACCAGATGCCATTTGCCAAGCATACAAATATACATATGTGCCTGTGCGTGGGGCAAGGTCCGCTCGGAATCCCGCTTTATTGATTGAATGGCAAACGTTCTCCAATGATTGCACATTTGTTTATATTTACATAAATTATAGAAACAGTTTCATTTACAGTCACATCACTCCGTTTCAAAAACGATTAAGGGAGATTTTAACTTGAAATTATTACATTTAAAATAATAGACCCTACAGATTATATGGGGCAAGGTTCGGTTGGGCTTACGCTTAATTGATTGAATAACAAGGGTTCTTAATAACTGAGTTAAAACCAATTTTATTTATAGTTACACTTTATCAGATGCATTTTAATATATTTAGTACTCTTTATTTCCCCGTTCTGTTGTGTTTGTTATTTGTAAAAATAATTAATTGTGTTAGTAAAAGCTTTAGTGACTTATATATTGGCAAACAAACAACAACTCCTAGTATATCGATCATAATTTGTCACTACCAATATTGTGTTTCCGAAGAAGGAGAACGCGTAAACTTAGTAACCACATTTATTTTTAGGCCTTTGACTGTGTTTCGATGTTGTATGTTGTCATGTTATTCGCTTGTTTGCTAAACGGCCTGATGCGTTGACTGTTTTTGTGACTGAAGGGAGTAGTCGTAGAGTCCCAGAGTGTCTGCGATAAGCAGCGCAGAAACGTTATCAGGCCTGTTAAAAGCGTTTATTTTGCGATACCAAGTTACACATGAAGTGCTTGGCATTAGTCAATCGTGGGCAACTTATTTGGGCCATGTCCGTAACTAGTGACCTCTCCGTGTTGAGCTGGCCAGCAGAGCGTAAAATGAAAACAGAAAAGGCAATTTCAAACGCAAAGACACTCCAAAGACAGAGCCAAAGGCAGTCGAAACAAGCTTGAAATGAAGTCACAGCAGAGTTACTTTACTTCTTACCGAAAAGCTTAACCTGTTTTCACTCTGCCAGTGTATGTATGTTAATTTCAGCGCTGGACAATAGCGAAGAGAAAACCGTTTGAGGTTATACGGAGTCGCTAGCTATCAAATCAACTGACCAGAACTACAAATGAGACCATCAAATAATTTATGGCACGCCTTCGTCACTTTTTGAGGCAATGGCAACGGCAACGGCAGCGGCCAAGACATGTAAACCAGGCGATAGGGTCAGGTCTGCTCCGTCCTGTGCTGTCCTGTCCTGTTCTGGGTCCTTTGAGGCTTTCATTTCCATGTCATGTCACGTTCTCGGCTCTGTAACATAAAGCGGAACGGAAGTTCCAAAGGCCAGGCAGCACACCAGGATATGGCTGTACATACTATACCGACTTGTGTGTGGGCCCAAATGTGTCTGCCCGTCTGGGTTTGGCTTTGACGTCGCTGTTTTTCCCCTTCCTCTGCATGTTTTGTGTGCTATATAGTAGTATGCCTTGCCATTTCGCCGTTCTCTGCCATTTGGATCCGTTCCGTTTCGTTCGGAGTGAATGAAGTATGCGAAGGACAAAGGGGAGGCATCGGAACCGAAATATTTCCACGATTTATTAGCTG